TAATAAAATAATTTCATTTTATTTGGAACCAAAAGATTGATCAAAATGTTCCCACTTAGTGTGACAAGCCATCTAAGGAACGTACCACGTAACCTATTGCTATTGAATTTCTTAAAATGATACGACTGACATTCTTCTAAGCATCCCAGTAAACATACGCATCCTTCAGATATTATTTAACAAATTACGCTGGATTCCTTGTAGATATGAGTCACCAAATTCCTAATAACGTTGAGCTTAATTCGTTTCCAACTGGCAGTACCTGTAACTGTTTTACGTCTGATTAGTTTCACACAGCGATACAGTTTGAGAGATCCGTGAATGAAATCATCTATATCAGTATGACCAATGACGGTTTAGATTTGCCCGATTAGAGGTTTTAATGTTATGGGTTACTTTAACACTGTTATTATCAATTTAACAAGTGTAGCATACGGTCTTAGACTTTAGCTCGTATCTCTAAGCTCGTTTGGATTTGAAGAAGGTGATGGAAACAAGATTCAGAAAGATCGGATCCTACTTACTTAACAATCACTCACCGCCGACTTTTTAGAGACGTAACTGGAAATTACCGTTATGACTACAAATTCTACCTGGTTTAATGGCCACTGACTCTTCTTATTGACCAATCATATGGCGTTAATTTGTGACGCATGACCTCTCTCCACCAATCAGTAGCCGTTATTTCGCCCATTCCCTCTCTGCTCAATTAAGCAGCCGTCAAAGGTCAGAGAGAGGGATACGGCTTGTGTTTGGCTGAATAGTCCACGTGACACAAAACCGAGTGAGCTGAAGTGGTGGGGATGAGTTGGCTGGTGCGGGGTGTGTTTTTGTTACATCTCTCTCGATCCTAACACATATAACCCGGTCAAGACTTCAAGAGCAAGTCTTAACTTTTAGATAAACATCTTAGCTTTATACCCTATTATACAGGGTTCTAGATTTCATTTGAGTTTTTTGTCCATAACACAATATGCGGTTTATTTCAATAAGCTCCTTTTGATTAACAGTTTCATAACATATATTGTAAGAAACACTGCGAAATGAAGTTGTGATGTTTTTCTATTTTTGACCAACGCAAAAAACAACAAATTCAGACACTTTGGATCGCCCCCCTCCCAGTTTTTTGTCTCTTTAATAAAGCCAATAACATCACCCAAAAGTACGTGTTATACCAAGGACCCTTATTTGTCCACTATAACCTACCACAAGTCCTTATTTATCCACGATACAACATACTACAGGAACAATATTTTCTTACCCTTCTCTAAAATCCCAACATCCCTGCTATGGGAGGGTTGTTGTACATACCAGAGCGGGGTATTTCTCGAAAAGAGAGCCTGGTTGAGCGAGGGCGGCTGTTGTGTTCAAATTTGAGTACTGACACATCATATGTTATATTTTATAGTGTTATAGCCTAGATTCTAGGAATTCTGTCGATCAAATAGTCATATTTCATGACAAATTAGAGTTGATATATTGTGTAGCTAGTGCTTTAGTACCCAGCAACGGTAAATGAACTAGTTGTTTACCCAATCTCACGGCGTGTGTCACGTGGTTAACCTGATCAAGGAAGAACATGCTATTTATCTGCATTTTTTGGTCATCAAAATCATTGCCAAAAGTTTTTTAGACTTGATGGCTTCTGAGTAAATGGCTGTTTGAGGTGATGGACTGGGAACCTACTGTGGACAGTTTTGATACAAGCCTATGGTTTCATTAGTGGCATTGTAGCTAATAATTCTGAAAGGAATCACGGGAGTGCTTCTATTGTCTGAGTAACCTAGATTTCACTGGTCTTGCTGCACGCAACTAGTGGTAAAACAATGTCAAGTGTAATTATAGCCATGAGCAGGAGAACCCGCGTGGTATTTGTCAAGGGGAGGGGAGATATGAACAATTGCTATCCTTCATCCGGCTTGCACGTCCAAAACCAGACCTGGCACGTTACCTAACCTGAGCTTCCTGACCATACAAACCACGGTTTTGACACGTGCCAAGTCATACATCTAGTGGAATGAAATATTACATATATAAGATACTTTATCATTCTGGGCATATTGATAGCTCTGAGTTGTGATTGGACGTTTGAAGTGTGAGTATCACGTGATGGATGGGTTGCTATGACAATGATTCCACGTGGAAACCGTTCTTAAGAGAGAAAGTGATAATTTATATATTCTAGAAAACCTCTCTCACCATTAATTACAGTCTCTTCTTATAACTAACTTAGAGATAAAGTGCATATAACACCGTATAATGCTGAAATATTTTAAGCATGCTACCAGCAATTGTATCTGTGAATTGTCTAATAGGGGATTTTCCGGTTTGATAGGGCCTTGATGCCCAGCTTTTTGAGTGTCTTCGATTATGACAACCTCCTCGTGGACGTGTGTTTTGGCGGGTAGAAGCTCAGTTACTATGCTGCTAAATAATGTGTTTGTATAATTAGTAAACCTTAAGTTCTTGGTGAGTGTTGGTTGTAGTATAGCTGTGACAAGGTTAAGAGCGAGTAGTTTCTGTCTATTTCATCTGTCGGTTCAGTGTAAACTTTAAATTAATTTACAATTTTCAGCCAGTTGATGTTTTTAGCTGCTTTTTACCATACTTTCGTTTTTAATTGAAACGCTATCATAAATCCGTCTCGTTATTAGTTGTCTCTTTTTACAATCGATTATAATTCAAACTGTTAAAAAAAAGAGTCCTTAATTTCCCCCAGTTTTGCACTACTTTACACACACTAACTTAAAGATCGCTACTGTACGTTTCCTGTGTCGACTGTCGACATCGGGTGGTTTCTATATTAGCTAGGGGCCGTCGAAACTTCACATTCACTCTTTTACTACTCCGTTCATCATCCTTTCATACGGCTGGTTCGATATTATAACAGTAACACCGTGAAAGTTGAAACCATGTTAGAATCGCACTGTCACCACAATTAACAAGGGTCCGGAGTCATATCATGTTCTCCCGGCAAGTAGGTACCGACCGCCTGGTATATGGCTATTAGCCGTTCAAATGTCCTGCTTTTGTTTTTTAACTTGCTATTAAAATTAATTAAAAAACATGGGTAAAAGTAATTGTTGTAAGGCAGTATAGCTAATACGTAAAAATAGTTTGTTAAATAACATGACAATATTAATGTACAGTAGCGCATTAATAATGTATATTATAGTATTTGTTTAAATAGTAATGTAATCAAGGAGTGTGCTGGAATGTAGTGCTAGGGATGAAATACGATAATATTATGTCGACGGCCCCGACGTTGATGTGGCTCTTGCTATGTGTTATTGTGTTGGTTCAGCTGAATTAATTATTATATATCCAAGTTTATTTTTCTAGTTTAGTTAGTTGTCATCTGTACCATTTATCAATTGGTAATAATATATCTAAATAATGTCATTGCAATCTTGCATGGCTGAAATGTAACGCTTGATTTATGTATCTATGTATGTAATAATTGATTGAATTTTCAAATTTAAAAAAAGTAGAATTATATTATTCAAAATCGTTGAGATATTGCAGTACTAGATCGTCACTGGGTGTCACAGTATTAAATCTTTAAATATAACATCAAATACATTTCTTTGCTGTAGTACATAACTTTTCCTCTGAAATCTCCGAGCAGTAGTAGGAGAGTAGTTATATTACTGGAGATGACAGCTAGAGTTTTACTTGGGAGCATCATGACGCATCGTAGTAACACTACTGTGACATGTCCAAATTTTGCGTCTTATTACAGATGCCCATGACAGCAGTGCAATGTTTCTCCCTTTTTATGAGGGCTTATATTGTGTTTTTGTCCTGATTTCGGTTTGAACGTGACCCCTGCCAGCCAATAGAAGTAGCGTGATCCCCCGAGTTAGCCAATGAGGACACGCCGTTCTGCTCGATGTGTGAGCTCCGTTTTTACCAGTAGAGCGAAGTTTTAATTGCACTGGATGTGAGGGAGGTAAATGTGATTATTACTCATTTGATTTGACAGTTCTTGTTTTATGACACCAGGGGAGGTGGAAGTGTAATTCTATAGCCTATAGGCTTTCCGGAGAAATGGAAAACTTTGTGTTAAAAATATTTTGAAATGGTCTTACAATTCAACAGGTGCTGTCACGGCAACTTTAACATTCATATTCGTATTCACAGTATGTACACTGTACAGTGATTAACTAAAATGTAAAACATGTGATAATTGCGCCTGTAAAACTAGCTAAATTCCTCTCTATATCGCTCCTGTTTCAGATACGTTAGAAAAAGAGGACCTCCTTCCTCTAGACATGACTATAGGGACACCCAGCTGTGTGGATGACGCTTACTTTACTCTCTTTACAATCACCCGGCACGCCTTCCAACGTGAGTTATCACGGGTGTTTTACTGGGTTACAGGGTGACACAGCACACCCAATTATGACCCTTTAAAAGTTTTTTATTCAATTTTGAAAATCTTCGACCTCAAAAAATCGTCAAAAAAGAGGTCCAGTGCATATTCTTACGTGTGGGCTGTAGAAGAAGAAAGACAGGGTGTCTTCTTATTGTATACTACCGAATAGCTAGTGTTTTGCTCAGAAATAGTGCAACAGAGGGTTGTATCAACCAATACCGATATTATTTCAATTTGGTACTCCAAAAAACGTTAACTAATTATTTCCTGACATCTCGTTTCAGTGATTGGAGGTGATCTGTACTCAATGTACATCAAGCAGGAATATTCAAACACGCTGCACCTTTACAACCCTTCAGAAGCACAGCACACGTTAGTATTATTAACTTATATCTTGGAAGTGAGCGTTCAGACGTTCCATTTATCTCAGACCGCATCTAGAATCTAGATAACCCGGTCATTTACGTGATCAATTCGGAATCAATTGATTTAATTTAATTAATGATCGATATTATGATTTATTAAGTTATTAGATAATTTGGATGACTGAATCAATTTATTTACCAGGTGTCACAGCTGCCTAACCCAACACTTTGACGTGACGGAACGTTGCGAGGACATTACTGTCGCTGCTCACGTAGTCCATACCAGGAATATCGTCAACGTGGGAGATGTTCTTCAAGAGGACACCAAGTTCCCTGCCGGTATTGGCAAACGAGGTAAGAGGACAACTTGACAAGGAATTGGGCAGGCATGGAGGATGAAATATTGCATTGCTATAATTATATTTTTGTTTTTAAATTTTGTTTATTTAATTTTTTTTTCGCAATTCCATAAATTCATTCTTTAACAACAATTTCTTATATTACATCTTATGCCACATCGCAAATATCTGATAAAGCAATAATAAATTCGGTTGATCAATTCAGAAGTTGAGTTTGTAAAGGTACATATTATATAAGTTAAAGAATTAAAGGCAGCATAAGTTACACGACACGCTATAATTATTATAATAAATAGTGTTTAATAAACACTGTACTATAATTAACTGACACTTGTACTCTGATACTCAGTAGGACAGTAGTGTGAAAAGAACTATAATATAAAGGCCCAAATACTAAGATTCAAATAAAATGTAAGACCCACCAAACAAAACTACCAGTTTTAACTCTACAATTTATATTGTGACATACTCTATAATATCAGTAAAATTTACTGATATTAGAGAGTATGTCACAATATAATAGACCCATTAAACTGATTACATCCTAGGATTATATACTTTCTAAAGATACATTTACAAAAATTAGAGTCAGTTTACACATATTTTAGTTCCATTAAATTACACAATATAGTCTTTCGCCAGCAGCCAGCATGAGCAATGAGCAAACTATAGGAACGATGAGTCAGCTGAAAACATTTACAGCTCTACTAATGATAATCAACTAATTAGCTAATTAACTAATACTAATTACTAACTATTCTGTTTTAAATATTTCTTCTCGTTCGCATATCCGATCGAAGCTCCAGTTCTCCCATTTTCGGTTAAAGATGCTAGCTCCTGATCCTCTCCATTCTGACCGGTCCCATTAAGAGTCTGTCTTCCGAATAGTCTTAAAATAGTTATCTTTATTCTGTACAACCAGCTTAACACAAACTGTCTCATTTCAACTTTCCTAAGCAGATAAATCAAAGGATTTGTCGCAGAGTTCATGGGCAGAAACACTCGAAATGTTAGGAATTCTAAGAAGTACATTCCCAAATCAGAGCTCCTTGGAATGTTCAGAAAAATGCAAAACAGGACGATAAAGCTGGTGTTGTAAAGACAGAAGATACTGGAGACTAGGAAGACTGTAACTGCAGCTCGTTTGGTTACCTCGATCAAGTCTTTACTGCCTCGCGCCGCTATCACTTTCTTTATTGATATAATGTTGGAAACTATCACAATAATAATTATGCTGCAAATTGATGCAATTGTCAGGTACTCCCGCACTAATCCGAAAGTTATGAACAAATCACCACCACCGTTCCATCTTATAGCTGTGTAAGCTATTTCTCTGCCGATAACATAGGCCAGGAAGCACACGGTAGAAAATACAAGGTGGCAGTTGTTAACCTTGTTAAAAGGAAGGCACAAGCACCAACAGCGCACCACGCTCAACAAGCACGTTGAGAAGGACGTGCTCTCACTGGCCACCACGTACACCGCCATCAGTATATCCAGAGTGTGGGTATTTGAGGTGCTGCTTCTCAGTATCTCCATGAAGACAATAAGAGCAGAGGAGGTGCAGACACACAAGTCAAACACGTTGAGCAGCATGAGGAGCTTGCTGCCGAGTTGTTCAGATTCGTACTTAATGAAGTAGACCAGGGAGAGAGTGTTGAAGAGGGTTCCGAGCAGGGCTATTAGCGCGCAGATTGGGATTTCATACCAGGCGCTGACTGTCATGTCGAAGGTGGAGGTCGGTGAGAGGGTAGTGTTTTCCATTGTTCCTGATTATATGTAACTGGGGTTAAGAAAGTTGTTGTTTGTTCAATTTTTCGTAATTAAAAAATATAGCAAAGCAACAAGGAATACTATGGCCGACAACGTTATGTAGTCAAAAATCCACTGGCTTGATAGAATCACAAAGTAATGTGAAACGCTTGATTCCTTTAGTTGGTCGCAACCTCAAGAGGATTATCAATATTTAATATGATCAATGTCTGCAAATATTTTTGCAAGGATGTTATTATACTATAGGCACTTTGATCTGGATATTTTTAGTAATAGTATCCTCTACGCAAAACTCCGATAGTCTGCGACCTGCGTGTCGCTAGTACTTAGTTCCACAGAATAGGGATCTCAATACAGTAAAACCCCCTCCCTCCCTCCCTCCCTCCCTCCCTCCCTCCCTCCCTCCCTCCCTCCCTCCCTCCCTCCCTCCCTCCCTCCCTCCCTCCCTCCCTCCCTCCCTCCCTCCCTCCCTCCCTCCCTCCCTCCCTCCCTCCCTCCCTCCCTCCCTCCCTCCCTCCCTCCCTCCCTCCCTCCCTCCCTCCCTCCATCCATCCCTCCCTCCCTCCCTCCCTCCCTCCCTCCCTCCCTCCCTCCCTCCCTCCCTCCCTCCCTCCCTCCCTCCCTCCCTCCCTCCCTCCCTCCCTCCCCCCCTCCCTCCCTCCCTCCCTCCCTCCCTCCCTACCTCCCTCCCTCCCTCCCTCCCTCCCTCCCTCCCTCCCTCCCTCCCTCCCTCCCATTGAAACAATGAAACTGCTACAACTCTTCAAACCAGCTCAAATACTCCTCGGTTGCAAGCTTTATTTTGGTAAATATCGGCAAACAAACTACAGAATGTCATGACAACGGTAAAGCCCTTATCTTAAGATGTTTACCCTCACTTGCCCATAATACACTAATACAGCATGAAGTAGTAAGCAAACAAACTTGAAACACGTAATCGCGGCACTGCGGCACACACTATTAAGTATTATTAGCTTTAGAAGTTGAGCTCTTATTGCATAAGTTTAATAGTAGTTAAGGGTATGATCGGGTATAATACATAAGTTACATGAGCTACATATTAAATGCTGCAAATGTCTTTAGCGTAAAATAGAGGCGGCCAACCAGACTAGTCCTCCAGGGGCGTACCAGTGATAATCTCTGCCTGCTCACAAGTACTCTCACGATACACACTGCACTCACTCAGCCGTGTAAGGACCAATAATCTCAATAAAATTACACTAGTCTCACTTTAATTCCACAAGTGCCACATGACGTACATTTTATTGCCGCAAATGCCGCGTGTTAGTGCCGCAAGTGCCGCATTTTACATATAATAATAGTGCCACAAGTGCCACATGTTAGTGCCGTGAGTGCCACATGTTAATGCCGCAAGTGCCACATGTTAGTGCCGCGAGTGCCGCATGTTAGTGCCGCGAGTGCCACATGTTAGTGCCGTATTTACGTAATAAGGTCGGCCCGTAGTAAGTGACGTAAGTGAAGTGGTAAATAACCGATAACCATTCATTGTATGAGTATAATTGGCCCCATCCGGGCGGTTACCCATACGGCATACCGGCTATCCACAAGATTCTATCGATTCGTCGCCTGGGTCAGGGACCCCATGGCAATGTGAGAATGTAGATACCAGCAGCAGCAGCAAGGGTGAAATTACTGTTCATGCATAATTTGCATATACATACAAAATGAAACGACAGGCTAGGTTACGTCAAACAAATGTTCCAATTGATAGCAAAGAATGATATCTTTAGTGACAATTTAAATAGGAACCAAAATGTGAAATACCGAGTACAAAGCCACAAATTTGCATGAATAAAGACCTCGTAAAACATCCCAACAAACATTGTGATAATACTAATAATAGTCTATAGAATTACACGTTAGATCATAATAGAAGAAATTGCCATCTAAGGAGCAACAGAAGGATGCTTTCGAAAGTATATATAATGCATATTATTATATAATTAAATGTATTACATAAAATCTTGAATTATGTGTTCAAATTCAATTAGAAACTATCCAAAAATATTTAATTATGGAATGAATTAATCGCTAACGTCCTTTTCCGTCAACAATAATGCAATAAAAGACAACTTATTCGGGTTTTCTAACAGAAATTTCAATGGCTATTGAAGACTGAAAATAAATAATAATAAACTTCCAATATCTCCGAGATATTATATATCTCGTACCCCACTCCTCAGAATCACTAAAGTGAGGCCGACCAATCAAAACTCACATCACGTGCCAGTAATACCACAATACGAAGATAAGAATAACGATAAAATATAACTGAACAAATAAAGTTACACAACTCACAAAGCTGTGAAATAAATGGGGACTTGCCACACCATATACATATAATATATATTATATACACATATTATGTAATATGCATATCGTTATAAATAACGACGGCTGTGAAATATTCAAAGCTCTGATAATTAGAAAGTAGGACGACTGTTTTTAGTAATGGTGAGCCGTGAGTCACCTACCTATGTCACCTATGTTGAGATTCGTTAAGCTTTAACAGGGCCATCACATTGTGTGACCACCCCACAGAGAGGAGATCTCTCTGTCATTCCTCCAGCAAAGCAGCGAGTTTGAGTTCTGAGGAGTGTAGCCCCTGATGGGCGGTGTATCCGGAAGAGATAGCATGAACTGGGTGAGCTGCGATTTGAAATGCTCTCGGTCGCCGATGGAATTCAAATGGTAAGGCATTGCATTCCACAATTTTGGGCCTATGACTGCAAATGAATTATCATACAGTGACTGATTTGCTGCTGAGCTGTGTCTGCATGCAGATGGAATGACTGCAAGGTTTCCAAAACGTGGCCTGGAGACAAACTGCACGTTAATGTCGTTGCTGGTATGGTGATGGAGAATCTTCCACATATGAAGTAAAATGAACCGCTCCCTGCGACGCTGTAGAGACATCAGAGATAGCCGTTGAAGACGGTCCCAATAATGGAGATCACGCATTCCAGTAATCCTTGCGGTGAAAGCTTTCTGTACGCTTTCAAGCTCCTGGATGTCACATATCTTGGAGGGGTGCCATAGCGGGCAACAGTATTCCAGTAAACTACGAACCATCGACTTGTAAAGCGTAAGCATTATGACTGGAGATCTTGTCTGAAAGACACTGAAAACCCAGGCAGCTTTTTGTCGAGCCTTGTTTGCTGCGGTCTTGATGTGGGGTTGCCAAGATAGATCGTTGGAGACGAGAACCCCGAGGTCTCTTAGTTGACCTACAGGTGCGAGTGACTTGTCTTTGGATACTGAGTACTGGTATAGTTCACTAACAAAAGGAAGTTCGACGAGAGCACTACGTCGATTGTGTCTGTGACACATGTACTCAAACTTGTCTTTATGTAGTGCCATATTGTTTCGTTCAGACCATTTTATGACACTGTTCAAGTCGTTTTGTAACACAGATACGTCTTGTTCACAGGTTACCGATATTGAAACACGAGTGTCGTCTGCAAAGCATCTGATGATGGATTCAGTTATGCAATGCTCAATATCATTGATGAAAATAAGGAACAAGATCGGCCCGAGGACTGTTCCCTGGGGGACACCACTGATGATCAGAGCGAGAAATGACAAGTGGCCGTCGACCACTACAGCTTGCTTCCGGTCTGACAGAAAAGATTCAATCCATTTGATGATTTTTGGATTTAAGCCATAGAGGTGAAGTTTCCTGATCAACAATTTGTGATCAACTTTATCGAACGCCTTAGCGTAATCAAGATATATAGAATCAAAGTCAGCTTTGTTGGTTAATGACTCAAAAACGTCGTCGAAATGGTGGAGAAGCTGTGTAAGGCAGCTGCGGCCTGATCTAAAGCCATGCTGTTTGCTACAGAGCAAGTTGTTCATTTCTAGATGTAAGACTAGCTTTTTCCTTATGATTCTCTCAAACACCTTGATTATATGGGAGGTGAGTGAAATGGGCCTGTAGTTTGAAGGAAACGCCTTGCTATCTTTCTTGTGGAGCGGAGAAACGTGGGAGTACTTATAAAATGAAGGTACTTCTCCAGATGCAAGGGATTTTGACCAGATCAGATGGATAGGAATCGCCATAGCATCTTTGCAATTCTTAAGTAGAGCAACTGGGATCTCATCAGGACCAGATGAAGCATTTGGCTTAATATCATCAATAGCCTCGATAACATCACTGATAGAGAATTCCAGAATCTGATCCGTGAACGGATATGTTAAATCCGGAGGAGGGAATGATGCAGCGTCTAACTCAGTTTTGGAGGGGTCGCTAAATACGGATAGAAACTGGTTTTGTAAAAGGTCTGCCATTTCCTTAGGATGAGAACGGATGTTACTGTTCTCATCGAATAGCATGCTGATATTCCTTTTCTTTTTGGAAAACTTCTTGGCATAACTATAAAAGTACTTCGGGTTTGCTTTTACTTTTGCTGCAGCCTGCTCTTCGCGATACTGAAGGGTCTTGTTAATAGCATCACGAATTCCTATGTGGGCCAAGTGACTATGTTTAATATAATTATTCTTAATTTGATTTAATCTTTGTGTTCGTCTGCGGGTATCGCAGATTAATTAAGCACAGTATGATCATGACATTTATTTCAGGACCGAAGACACAGGCAGTACTGGCAGTTCCGGTCCTGTTAGATAATGAACAATGTGCAGGTAAATCAGTGATACTTCAAATAAGTTAGTTATTAATAGGTTTAGAAATTGGGTCGGTACCGGACATTTGGCAACGATTAGCTAATCAGCTTTCAGACATGAAACCCAGAGTCACTGTCTTGACTATGCAATCACCACGGTCGACTCAGCCGAATGATAGGAAACTTGATTGAGAGTTAAATGAAGAGGGGTACCTGTTAAAAGTTCAATAAACTTCCTAGGATACCCCTTCACTACATACTGCAAACATAGTACTGACTTACTTACTGGCACGAATATCAACAAAAAGTTCCCGAAAATTCCAGATTTGTGCTATTTATCCAAAAAATTCCAAACGCCATTCATTAAACCCTAATCATGGCCTGGATCCCCGTTTACTTGACTACTTGCCCCGAAAATCAAGAATTTTACACCATTGCGGCAGTGCATATTTGGGGGGGGGGGGGGTCCTGAGAACCGGAAACTTCAGGTTGATTGAGATGATTAAGAGAGAATATGGCGCAGTACAGTACAGTGGATTTGGATCATTTTGATTGAAAACAATTTCGTTTTCATACAAAGGATCTGCACAACTCCCTGTTTCCAACGAATCAATGCTCCGGAGTAAGAGAGAATAAAACAATTGCACTAATCAAATACAATCACACAAATAATGTTTAGGCTGCCTTTGAAACAAAAGATTTCATTTATAAAAAACAGAAGGAAAATGAGTAATGAAATAGAGAGACCATCTCTTTTCAGAATAAGAAGTAATGAAATTAAACAAAAATAGAGTGAAAGGATTTGTGGCTACTTTAGTTTGTTCAGATAGTGAGTCACAAGTACTTGTTATAGTTTGTAAACGGTAAGCATTTCTTTAACTACATAAGTTACTGTAAGAAGTGATGAAATGTAACGAAAAATAGAGTATGGAATGTTCAATTACGCGCTCTTATTTTCGTAAAAATACCGCAGTAAAATTCAGATTCGGATACCAAATGTATGGAATATCTCCTCACACTAATTCCTTTATTTTCGCAAAGATAATGACGTATTTAGTCGGCAACTAGACCCGCCATGAGTTTATCTGTTATTTAAAGTATAGTAGTATTTGAAGAATGAGTGATTGATAGAAAATGGCAGAAGGCCAAGGGTAATTAAATGCGTTACGAGAATAGTGACAAAATCATTCTCTTTAAAGAGAGGCGTAAAGGAGAGAGAGTCAAATCAAAGGGAACTAAAAATCGAAACGACCGGCAATTTGCAGACAGGTGCAGGGTAAACGGGCCAATGAAGAGAAAAGAGCTGAGAACTATAACATATAAACGATGCCGTGTCTCAAGATACAACATAATCAGAGGGTCTAATAGTATAATCAAGAAATGGAACCTACTGCAAAGTGCATAATGACTAAATACTCCTTGGGAAAGATGTTAAACGAATATAAATTACTTGTGTTGCGAGGGCCATGAGGTAAATGGGGAGTCTAGGATAAAACACGCTTAGAGAAAACACTGGAATAGCTGAGAGTTATTACTATGTGGCATGATAATAGCATAATCAAGGGGTGTAAGTCTCAATCTCAATCTTTATATATTATGAGAATGAGAATGAGCTGGAAATTTAAAAGAACGTAATTAGAGGGTCTCATGCTCTAAGTTTACTACTATTTATAGTAGTATTATAGTATATTATATATAATACTACGGTTGTACATGAAATTGTGGATGAAACAAAGACTGTCCAGTGTCCACGCGTGACCTAAAAGTAACTGGTGCTAGGAATCTAGAAGGTGTGCTATAAGGGAACTGGATTCAAATATAATAACTTAAATACCATCGAAAAAAGATGGAAATAGATGAAGCGAAAAGACGAAACGAAAGGACGCTGTAAGAACGAGTGCCTCTAAACAAAGCCTCTAAAGATGGCACAGAATGAAACTGAACAATGATAACAGGATGTGAGAGAAAATACGGAAGATAGGAACTGAAAGTGAAGTTCTAGAAGTAAAGAGAGATCCCGGGAGAGAAGATTGTGAGATATTATTATGGAACAAATAAATAGATATGAACTGTATTAGATATGAACAACTAAAAGTACCGGAGAAACAACGAATAGTCCTGGAGTTGCATCTGATAATAACTCATATGAACTATTAATATATTATAAGTTTAATGACTGGATTTAAACACGAAATGGAATGTTTTAATATGGTGAAAGACTGAAGTTTAAAAGTTGTGAATTTTGTAATCACTTGTCATACAGTGTAAATGTTGTGTCCGAACAATAGAACATGAAGAACCAATCTTATTTGAAAACTAGCAGATCATGCTTCGATCAATATCGAGTCTTACTAAAAGTCAGATTGCTGGACCTGTTAAAAAGGGGACTGATCAATGATCATCACTTCATCAGTTATCAGAATATGAGAATTCGGTCAGGTCTGTAATAAGAATAACACTCTAACTAATTATAAGCTAACAAAGTTTTATTGAATATAAATTTTAAAACTATAGAAAATGTCCTTCGGTAGAATTAAGTAACTCAATTATACCGACCCTGATTCGATAACTCTCCGACTTTAATGTTATCGTAACTTTTATCTTATTGTTCATTTATAGTCTGATCGGTTGTGCATGGAATGATCATCTGTACTTCATAGTAGAGCTGAGGTAAGAGGACTCAACATTTGTTGGCCTCTCCAAGTTGTAGAATCGGGGGAAAGATAAATTTTGGGTAGGCTCAAATTACACGCATTTTTAGAGGGATTGAGATAATCGAGAAAATAAAAATGAAGTTTTAGTAAAATGCCTAGTAATAAAAATAGGGTTATCTGTACAGTGTACTCGTATATTATATGCTTATAACCGCGAATTAGGCTTACGTTCCACAATTATTCCCTTATAATTAGGACAATTCCACCTAATATATCCATTATCCAGCTGCTGTTTAAAGTTACTTGTAGGATTGGTGTCTTGTTAGATACCCTACACGACGTTCAGAGCTCTAGTTAATTAGATCGATAGTTAGACACCAGTGCAAGAATTATAAAACATAAAGTCAAGGCTTGCAATTGGATTAATACACTACATAATAATATCATCGTATTTACACTGCACGTCTGCACTAAGTTGTAATTAGCAAATCCCTAAATTTTGCTGACATTTGTAATAAATCTTAATCTTATAATCCATATAATACATCTCATCCAGCAGTCTAATTACACTTGTAACAGAACTCTCATATCCAATATCCATACACCAGATACCTACGTACCGTCAGGGTAAGTCTGTAAGTATAGACCGTGCAAAGTGGGTGGCACACAACTGTTGACGATACAGTACTGTGTCCCAAAATCTGCCATCTAAAGTTCAGTGGGTGAGCAGTCAGTAGTTATTAATGTTGAGATAAATACGACTCAGCAAGTCTACTGACCAGCTCATAGTCATACGACAGGGGCTCTGCTCGAGGGACACAATAATTGTAAAGTTGTAAGGGTGTGCAACGAATTATAACATTGTGAAAGTCACCAATCATGGATTATTATTTAAGACGAATGTTCAGAAAAGAGGGCACCGCAGCCTTTATCTCTTTATGTCGGTCCGACATATTTGGCACAGGAGGTGACCAACAATCCAATTTTACCGGGATGACCGGGATGACCGGGATTTGACCGGGATGACTCGGATGACCGGGATGACCGGGATGACCGGGACCAAAACTGGTATTCTCATATTGAAAGCTGCAACTTTCATTTACATTATAATTGAACAATTTGAATAAGTAATAACTAGAATATTTAATTAGAAAAAACTAGAAAAAACCCGTCAATATGGGGCATGGGCCTAATGCTCTAATGTACTACACCAATAATGTTCATGTACTGATTACTCAAGTTCACCCTCATTCCTCATTCCTCAATCAATGATCCCTCAAATTATTCAACAGTTTCATTCTCCAATTCCAATTGACAATTGGGCGTAGCCCGAGTTGAAAACTTGATGTTACTTTGCACTTATGAGTTATGTAACGATATTAGTTACCGAGTAGAAATAGCTTTGATCTACACTGTGTACACACTACACAGCAGGGCAGTGCAGTGAACACTCAAAATCCCGGCAAATTTGAGTGATTGACCGGGACCGGGACCGGGACCAAGAATCCTGAATTAACCGGGACCGGGACCGGGATCATAAATCAGCATTTGACCGGGACCGGGACCGGGACCGGGATGAAAAATGTGACTTGACCGGGACCGGGACCGGGATAGCTCAAAATTGCCAATCCCGGTCACCTCCTGATTTGGCACAAGATTGGCTGACGCGACGGTGATTGCATTTAATTAAATGCTGTGGACTATGGAGGATATCCAGTTGCGTCTCCCTAGATTATTTTGACAAATCAACAACAAGTGGTCAAACTCATCTTGAACTATTTGTCGATCAACTGAGAGATGGAGATTCTTGCTAGGAATTAGCAGTGGACCGACAAGTTCGACAGTTTATAAATGGAAAAACGTGAAGGAATTCGGATAATGTGACTTATCTGCTTAAAATTTTAATCTTCAATTTAATGCCCAAATTTTCTTATTGCCGTGGCATATGCCTGCATACCGTATATAAGTTGTGAACGTAACCTGAGGGCCAAGGTTCTACAAATCTCACGCTGGAGCCTAGCCTAATATTTTATAAGTCATCTGTTTATAGATACACATTACCAGACTGTAGTCCTTGAGGTGGTATCTATATTGATTATCGATACGATGTACTATTTAATCCTTATTATATACAGATATTGTAAGACTTGTATTCCTAAAGTGTCGTTACACGACTATACACTTTGTAATCAGGCCTGCAGGTTGCCATTATAACAGCTGTGATTTATCAACAGTACCTCGAGGTACGTGATATGATCCTGTAAAAACACTCGTTATAAGACACACATGGTCATGAGACTTTTTATAGATTGAAGCTAGTGACTAGTCGTTATTTTTGGACATCTCTGTTGCGTTCATAAACTGATATAAACTGATAAACTGATAAACAGATAAACAGATAAACAGATAAACAGATAAACAGCTAAACAGATTAACAGATTAACAGATTAACAGATTAACAGATTAACAGATTAACAGATTAACAGATTAACAGATTAACAGATAAACTGATAAATTATCCCGCTTTTAATCATTAAGAATTAGGAGCAAAGTTCGAGAAAACAATCAAGTATTGAGCAAACAGGCAGGCAGGAACTAAAGAAATCATTGCATAACCAACTAGAAATATCCTCTAAGAAAATAAGAAAGGAAAGATCACTCATAGATAATTAGCACTCTCTCGATAATAATCTTTATAATTAAGGGCAGCAGTACTTAATTATATAAGTAATATTTAAGACTTGGGTTTATAAAAATTTATAAAGCTTTATAAAGCTATATTTATGATCTACCAGCCTAGCTATAAAATTATATTGCCACTAGACATCAACAATTATTCAAGGCCAACACAAACTATCAATGTATTGTTATTTGAGTGTATCGATAGGATAATAAATTGATTATTCCCCGTATCCCGTTATAGAGCTATAATCATTAATTGGACCCAGGATGATTATGATTTGCTACCACATCAGTGTCATGTTGATGAGTTGTGATGATAATATTGAACAATAATGGTTTATAATAATCACTATTATCCAGTATGTAATAGTGATTATTACCTATATATTATTTAGTATCACTAGTATGTAATAGGCAGACTTGAGACCTCCTGGAGTTTGTGACAATACTAACTTACTAAATAAACGGTATTATTATATGTTGAATCGGAGTAGTCGTTTACCTTTTGAGGAGAGCTCAACTTCTGCCATGGAAATTAGCTTGATTATGTGAAAAGGAGATAGACACTGGAATAAAGACAAGAAGATTCTTGCTCTTATCTTGCTCTTATCTTGCTTAATTTCATAAGTTGTCCGTGGCAGTACATTCATATGAACACGTCATATTGAACATTGTTGCATTATTACATTTTAAGATCATAGTCTAACCATGGAGAAAATTCAGTTTAACCTCTGTGATTGTTATATTGTATCTGTTTAGGTGTGATCGAGATATGTCGAGACTTTGGGAAGCCACAGTTTACACAACACGACGAGCAGGTTTACTTTTTTGTTTTTTAAAGTTTTGATTATTTATTTATCTTCTTGTTTCCTTTAACAAAAGTCCTGGGCCATCAATGAAATTTGTACACAAAATTGAATGTGAGAAATTTATTTAAATGGATTATTAACAGCGATTTTTTCAGTTGTTACGAAATTATTCCAAGTGGGGCGAACTAGTCGTCAGATATGCTAAGGTGAACTATTTTTATAAATAATTGATAACAAATTATAACTATTGATATATCACTACTTCTCAGGATAACAATAAACTATCAACAAAATCGAATTCACACTTTACCACCGACTATGTAATTTAAGCAACGACTACATGGAAAAATATTGATAAATGATATCGTAGGAAAGAGGGATAAGTATTATATTATATGCAATTTGACTTCTGGCGGGGATTGGATGGAAATTGTCTCCCCAATGAAAGATAATTTGCGTCACCTCCACGACTAGATATTAATTAGGCTAATTTGTATTTCCGGAATTAATTTTATTGAATTCATAGATTAAAAAAGATTAAATTTTGATCATTTTACAGGAAGGGGGGGGGGGGGGCAAAAGTCAGTACTTATACTCCCGTTGGGTCTTACAAGATCGTCATGTTTTATATTTGAGACCTGTAACTTTGCAAATGGTAAATTGTAACTACTCATTCGAGGATTCCGTCGCCAAAATTTGTAAATTTAATTTTTAGAAACCACGCCCAATTTGCTTATATTCGTGTTTGTTGAAGTATCATTCAAATATCAAAAAATTCGCGAAAATAAACATTCATTCGGAAAAATGAACATCGCTATTATTTGGTATAATATGATATGTATATTCCTCGAATGAGTGATAATAGCAAGTCATACCAGAAAGTATTACTTCAACCGGGCACTCAATAACTGATAAATAAGCCCCAAAGTATGTGTACTGAATTTTGCCTCTCCCCCCCCCCCCTCCCCCCCTGATTTTCGATAACAAGATAATAATAATGTAATTAAAGGCGTTGTAAACTTCAGCACTGATTAGAGATCCTTGAATGAGTTCAATTTAATTTCACGATTCCTACAATTCAATTCAAAACGTAAAATTACATAATTTATGACCAATACAATCTTTACTCTGCCGCATTTTAATAGCTTAATTGCTTTAATGCTATATTAGATTATATTTAAACTCAATTATTATTCAAGTTTGTTATGAACTTGCATAATAATTGATAAAATTGGTCAAATTCATCAAATTCATCAAATTCATCAAATTCATCAAATTCATCAAATTCATCAAATTCATCAAATTCATCAAATTCATCAAATGCAATTATCAATGTGTGGGTTGCGTTCAACATTAATTGATGATTGTAAAATATATTTGTTAAGTAAACGAATCGTTCAATCATTAAAATAAATGATTTATTCAGTTGTATGAAGCAGTAAAACATCAGACGGATTTTAACGACCTACTACTAAACGTAACGAAGTGAGTTTGCTAGCTACACCTTATATAACACTGTACTGTATTCAAACACTTGAAACACTACTGTACAGTGTACACTGTACAGTAAATCAAGTTTGAGAGCCATTCAATGTTTTGACTACATTGTTATCGATTAAAAACGATAAACTCATACATTCATTTTTATATCTATGTTAACGGGCCTTCTGTTGAATTTTCACCACAATTGCTTGCTCAAGAGCAAGGGGAAGTGTGAATGTTCATTGAAATGATGTCATATCACGGATATAGCATGTACCTTACACGGGTGAAATGAATTGGAAGTTCGCCTACGTTTGACTGCATGTTAAACAATGCAAACAGTTACCTTCTCGGTTCATTAGATGCAATGTGTTGACTGTGTCGCTTGAAAGTAAAATTAATCTCGCGATTTGTTACTTCGTGCCAGTATCTGTAGAGGCGGTCACTTTGGTTTTTGGAAGAGTTGGAACGCGCGAAGTTTATATTTAAATATTTCAGCATCCACCGTGACAGAAACTGATAGAAGGCGCGCGCCGCGCGCTTTGTTTACATGATCGATACGACCGGCCAAAAGTAGTTCGAAATATGTAATGCAGTTACCAGGCAAATTATAGGTCTCAGATTCAGACTTCAGTCATTATTTTACCAATCTGACCATCAACAAACACGGCCAGAAGATTGTGACATCTACGGGTTGTTCTTCTTGATGGCAGCTCCGTCTGTCAGGGCCCCCTCGATAAGAATATAAGTTTGTAACTTCCTGCTCTTTTCAAAAAATTATCCGTATAATTTCAACTGAGAAACTCAAAACTGGAAATTCCGCTAGATGTCAGTGTAATTTCCAACCATAAAGTGCGGTATCTCACGTCTCTCAATCAGTGACGTTTGATTTTAAGCCATGTAAACAATTAAGTGATCGGAAAATGTCCCTAAGCAAACAAGCAAATAGAAAAAAACAAATCATTAAAAAATATGTATATTAATATTCAATGCTGATCAGGGTAATGTGTACTGTATACACCGTAAATGTTTGGTGAGCAACTACATGAGGCGTGGCAATACAAAGCTTACATATTATGTGTATTATAACTGAACAATGTGATGAGGCAGTACGAATTATTATCTATGTTGACTATGTATGTGATGCTTTTTGCTAACAAGCCGGCTTGTAAGCAAACAATAGTCAAAAGGAACACAAAGCAGGTAACTAACGCGCTAGAACAATCAAAACAACGAAATGATATAATGAACGGATATAGAATATTCCTCCTGTTAATGCTGTAGAATACTTCGACATTCGACAACCCAACTAGTATAGTGACTACTTTATACTTTTATATATTTAAGCATTAATTTTACAAATTACCAAAACCCAAAAATCGGTAGGATTGACCGTTGGCTGGTCTCTTAGGTCACTTTTTCTTCAAAAAATAAGATATTAATGCTTTTCATACAAGTTACAACAAAGTCTGTATGATACAAAATTAATTTTTTAATGACATCATGTGTCGACCTATGTGGTTTGCTGCGTTCTTTGCGTTAAAAACTTGAAAACAATCAACTTTAAACTCAATAAAAGGGAGATAATACTGATTACTGTCTTATGTCTACTTTTATGATATAAAGAGTTCTCTGGCAGTTACGAAACTCGAGAGACTGTGGGATACTGAAGGGAAAGGAAGCAGTTCTAACGAGCTCTTCTCAAACACAAGGATATATTCTTGTGAACTCGGCTAGTATATATGAAACATTTGTCATGGAGTTGTAGAGGGAGTTATGTGCCTCGCCGGGCTAAAGTAGTGGATGACCTTGCTGTACGGCAAGTTAAACAAGGATCTGAAACTACTAGGTTCCGTACAGACTCAACTCTGCACCCGTGTCAATATGTTCATTATATGCAAGCCTCTTGATTTATAATCACCGAGTCTAGTAATTGTTTAAGAGAGTTCTCTGGCAGTTACGAAACTCGAGAGACTGTGGGATACTGAAGGGAAAGGAAGCAGTTCTAACGAGCTCTTCTCAAACACAAGGATATATTCTTGTGAACTCGGCTAGTATATATGAAACATTTGTCATGGAGTTGTAGAGGGAGTTATGTGCCTCGCCGGGCTAAAGTAGTGGATGACCTTGCTGAACGGCAAGTTAAACAAGGATCTGAAACTACTAGGTTCCGTACAGACTCAACTCTGCTCCCGTGTCAATATGTTCATTATATGCAAGCCTCTTGATTTATAACAGGTAAATCTAAAGCATGACTCGTTTTCAGGTCGTTATACACGGATATTGTGCAGGGCAAAACAGCTGACGATCTATCTGTTATTGATCAGATTCTGGTGAGAGGGTCTATTTGTCTGATTACACTTTGAAAACAAATAACGTAAATAGTAGAATCCTGTCAACAGTTTATTCTTTAAATTGACTTTTAATGTTTTGATAATAAATCTTTGATGTTATGAAATGGAAGAGTTGACTTGAAGAGAGTTGACTTGCTTTTCTTTGTACTATTTTCCTTTCCCAAAACTACGGTAAATCGGTGTTTTACTGTAGTATAGTACACTAAAAGTATACTATTACACCGTAAGTACTATTAATCTATAATTATCCATCCAGGAACAAGCAAAAGATTTGATAAACGCAGAAAGATGTTCTCTGTTTTTGATCGATAAAGAAACAGACGAACTCTACGCCAAAGCATTTGATATTGGTGCGGGCAGCGACGAGTCAAAGGTAATCAGCATATTTTTTAAATTTAATTTATAATTTATTTATGTAAATTAAAAAGCTTTGTACTTCTAAATTAGTATACAAATTATTATACTAATTTGCCAGGCTAATTCATAGTGTATACTGTATACCGAATTTAAGCATTCAAATTGATGTTACTGTCTCCATACGAGCATAAGGTTATTTTTATGAACGCCAGGATACCGACTCCTTAAAAAGACAATATAGGCTCGTGAATATTTGCTCGGAAAGTGAGTTTTGATTGCTAAAACGTAGACACACCGCAAGGATCTACTCCTTTACTCAATTGTATTATCTGATTGTGAGGCAATCAAATTAGAAGAGGGTGAGTTGGGACAACATGTGTAAAAGTGTAAAGTATGGGAATGAATTGAGGTTTTGTGAGGGGTTTATAGGGTGTTATATATGATGATATGATATGATATGATGTTTAATTCCTGTATATGAGAGTTGAGGGGTGTAGTTAAAGTTATCGTATCTTTAAAAGTCTGGTGCAGACTGCAGAGTGCAGGACAACGGATACGCAACTTGCCTAACTTGGAAATTGATAGAGTTATAGCAGTGAGGGATTGTTCCCTTGTCCCCAAATTAGAGATTGCTGTATTATCCTAATACTCTAGAATGTATAGGTAATGATACATATAAACCCTGTAGCGAAGACGAGACTCATTATGTCAATAAAATATCTGAGAGTCTAAAGGAGAGATTTAATGTACAAGTTGAAGATAAAAACTTGCGACTAGCACGCATCTTCTGGAACCCTAAGCTTCATAAGAACCCTTACAAGGCGAGGTTCATTGCAGGTGCCCGTTTTTGCGTTACGAAACAACTTAACGTCCAAGTTAACTGTTGTCTGAAACTTTTGAGGAAATACTTCAAGAAATACTGCGAGGCAATCTACAACAACAGCGGTATAAACATGTTTTGGAGCATAGATTCCTCAAGTGAATTCCTTGAAGCTATCAAAAATAGCGATGTTTATAATATACAAGTATATGATTTTACTACTCTTTATACCAGATTAGACTTGATTGAAGTAGAGAATATGATTAATGAAGTTGTTGATTTAATATTTTCAGACCGTAATAAATATATTTGTATTTCTAAAAGAGACAGTAATACATGTTTCTTTTCCAATAAAACCTATGATTCTCATGCCTGCTTTAGTCAAGATGACCTAAAAGAGGCTGTTAAATTTATTATTTATAACACTTATGTCGTCTTCGGTGGGATTGTATTCATACAAACCAAGGGTATTCCTATGGGTGGAAATTCAAGTTCCCCTATAGCTGATCTCACTGTTGGCAAAAAGGAATTTAATTATATGAAACGTTTACTTCAGGAAAAGAAAATGGGATTAGCAAAGATATTATCCAATAATAAACGATATGTTGACGATTTATCTATTATTAACTACCTTTACTTTCATCAATTGATTAAAGATATTTATCCTAATTCATTGGAGATGGAGCGAGCTGGTTCCAATAATAAAATCATTAACTACCTTGATTTAAATATTAATATTTCCACAGAAGGACTAGAAATATCAGTGTATAACAAAACTGATGATTTTAATTTTCATGTTGTATCCCTTACATTTCCTCACAGTAACATCCCAACCGAGGTTGGCTACAACGTTTTTTCAAGTCAAGTTCTTAGATATGGTAATGTTTGCACTAGATTGGATATCTTTACCTCCCATCTTCACAAAATATTCAAAATTCTAATTGATAGAGGATATAGCCGTGATAGACTGATTAAAGGCATTAAACGTTGTCTGAGGAAATATGATAACGTTTTCAGGAAGTTCGGTATTCTAGATGACCATAACATTATTAAAGAACTCCCCTGATATCTTTTGATTTATTGAAACACGGGTACTAACTCTGCTAAACTGAACAAATTCTGAAACTTAGGTGAATAAGTGTACAACGTGCTAAACCGAAGTTCAGACTGACCAGTGAAAATGGGCGAGCGTACCAAGTGTCATTTTAATTAGAAGTTTTAGTCAGTGATTTATTATTGAAGCTTGTAATTACAATATCTAATGCTCCTATAAATACTTTAATTAATTGTTTGTTCCGTTATTCTTTTTCCTTCCTCTTTTCCTTGTCATCCCCTTTAGTTTTAAGATTCTTGCTATAAATGGCTACAGCTAAGACTATTAATGCTAAGTACCAAACAACAAGTGGGAGGTGGATCGTTGGTATACCATTAAATCGATTTAACACCGCAATTCCAGTCGCAAGCCTGGGACCACTACTAGCAAAGTCACAACATCTACAAAGCTGCCATATAGCCTTACTGACAATTTTCTCGACTGACTGACAATGTTTCTTCTTTTTCCCCATTTAGAATACAAAGATTAGTACATTTTAGCTTATGATTAATATTATATTTTTACCTATAGTTTACCTAGATTGCATAGTAGTTACTAAGCTAGTTGCTTAGTAGTTACTAAGTTACTTGCTTAATAGTTACTAAGCTAATTGCTTAATAATTACTAAGTTACTTGCTTAATAGTTACTAAGTTACTTGCTTAATAGTTACTAAGCTAGTTGCTTAGTAGTTACTAAGTTATATTACTTGCCTAATAGTTACTAAGTTACTTGCTTAATAGTTACTAAGTTACTTGCTTAACAGTTACTAAGTTACTTGCTTAACAGTTACTAAGTTACTTGCTTAATAGTTACTAAGTTACTTGCTTAGTAGTCACTAAGTTACTTGCTTAGTATTTACAAGGGGCCAGAAATGTATGTAAAGTAATATCAGAAAACTTGTCGGTTAACGAACAATAAACTAATACAAAAAGCCTCGGTCGAGGCTAAACAAAACTGGAACCATGCGCCACCATCGATATAAGTCTAATAATGTAATAAAACTATAGTTCATAAACAAAAATTATACGTCACGCCACTAAAGGAAATATTCGTAAAAGACGTTACGTACATATATATATGTACGTAACGTACATATATATATATTTATAACGTATATATATATTTATATTTAATAAACCGAAACCCCACCAATCTGCCTCAATAACTTATGTGTGCTATGTTTTACATAAGTATTGAAATGGATAACTCAAATATTGTTTGATAGTTGGGGACGAAGTGAGAGTCTCCACTCAGTGTTTCAAAACAAATAGTTGTCGACGTTTCGGCACACGCCTTTGTCATAGAGTATAGACAGGATGTTACAAATACAATAGCTTACATAGCTGCAATTTACAATGTTAAAATAATCTGTTGTATAACTATAAATATAACTATCAATATAACTGTGAAATACCTACAATATTTTACAAAACTCCATACTATACTCACTCCGTCCCCACCTATCAAACTATATGATCGACCCACTCATAAAAGCGAAGAAAGATTACCATAACTGAAATATTATTTGAAATTGAATCGAATATCATTTAGTCCTTTAGTCGACCTTACTTTAAGTAAAATTGATTTGATTTCCGTAAAATCGTCCCGCAGATGCATTTTACTATCTGAAGCACTTGAATTTAATTAATATTTTGGACAGGAAGGAACCATCTTGATTCGTTTTCTAACTTTAATGCCTGCATAAGGAAAATTTAATTTAAGTCTGACATCAAAATGGTTCCGCGTAGACTTTAACGTGTTAAATCGAATACTATATTGCTGTTTTACTATTTTAATATTAAACTCTTTTGATCGTTAAATATTAACGTAATACAGGGATATTTTTCGCACGCTTTTAGTTTTATAAACATGATTTGTCCAAATTTTATAATTAAAAAGCACAATTCACTTGTTCAGAATTGAGATAATACAGAAACAAATGATAGACTAGCGATTATTAAAGAAAGTAGAATTCCAAGTGTGTTTGCTGAACAGCACGAGGGAAATCATAATATGCCACACATAGAGACATACCAGGTTTAATGGAAAATTTGATTGTTGATTTTTCCCAGACTAAATACCAGTCATTACTGGAATGTAAGCATTTCAAAATATCATAATTACCAAACAAGCCAAAAAGAGGTCGACAGGCTTTAAATTTAACTGCCTAACTGGAGAACATTTAAGCCAAAATTTTTAAAAACTTGGGAGTTCCAGTCTTGATCGTAAGTTAAATAATTGTACTAAGTCATTATAAGTTATTACTAATTGTAAGTCATTACAATCGTCAATGTTATCACCTTTTATAAGCAGCTGCTCAGTAGCGTTTAATTGACTGATCAGTGAAGAGCCGGGGAACGTATGCAGTAAATTTTAGACACTAATAGTAATGGCAGTTACTGTTTTAATATTGCTTACTATATATACTTACTAGAATACTTAGAGTAGGTTTGGCTGGGATCAGGACAACAGTATCAAGTACGTCCTCCTTTCACTCCGCTGGGGTATTTTTTGTAAGTACTATTCTTACTAGCCCTCAGAGGCTCTTGAAGGTACTGAAACTTAAAAGGAATATATTATCATGTAGCAGCTGATTATAAATCCAGGTTAATGATGATATTTAGTTCAGAAAGTCTCGTGAAAGTAATATCTCGTATGTCTTTCAACAACAGCCCTTATTTCACAGGAACTGAAAGAGGACTGTAGTTGAAGAAGTAGGAGAAAGTAGAAGAAGTAGGAGAAAATATTATTAAACAGACTATACTGAGAATATAATGGTAGCTTGGAAATTAAAAGACATAAAACCTCAGAAACACAATAGTCAGCTTAATGGCTGAACAATAAAATTAAGAGGAAGATGAGACGCGAAAAGCTTTAATCAAGTTTTTAGCGTAAGTTTAATAGTGCAATAGAATTATGATCCATCCATTCCATTTCAAGCAAATTTAGCTGAGGCGTAATCTTCAATATTCGAAAAGCATTTGGAACTACATGAAATTAAAGCAGGGAGAGATGTCTATACTCTATATTAAACGAAACTGTTCAAAGAAACCTTTTAGAAATGATTAAATTATAAAATGATCGTTTAGCATATTTAGCGCAGTGAAACCATGGTTAAAAAACTAGGGGTGGGGGACAACCCTGTTGCCCATTTATTCCCCAACTTTTAGTCAAATGGGCATGGCATCGATTGGCATTGCTGTTTTTAAGCCTTAAAAACAGCTAAAACTTGAGTTATGGTGAAAATAAACATCGCCATCGTGATTGCCGTCCTCTGATTAATTAGCAAGTACACTGTACAGCTATTATATTATATACTAATAGTTATGTTTTAATTTTTCGATTTTGACCGATTTTGACCAAATGATGAAAATGACCCCTTTATTCCTTAACTTTTGGTCGAATATCGATAGACAAAAATGAGGTTGCCCCCCCCCCCCCCCCCCCCCCCCCACCACGCCACTCCTAACTGTTCTTGTCAGTTGTCACCACTTCATTAAACTGGCACTGACTAAGTAACACAGGCGTTATGTAATTATAAACTCGATCATTTTATTTCATTAAAATATTAACGTCAAGTAAATATGAAAATTCAGGTTATATTTCTACCAGAAATATTACCTGAATGAATAATAATTTCTGGTTACTAGATGTTAATTAATTGTTAAATGTCATTCACCAGTTTAATTGGAAAATTAGTGTTATAACTTAGTCTTTTTCTAGTGTGGTAGCTTATTATGATTTCGGTAGCGAAGTATGAATCGCCACTTAGTTGAATTTGTTGTAATGTAAAAGACCAATTTAGACCAATTTAGACCAACTTAGACCAACTAAGAGCAACTTAGACCAACTTAGACCAACTTAGACCAACTTAGAACAAGAGAGTTGCTGTAATTGACAAGAGAAATAACGAGTAGTTTAACAAGAGTAATGAAAATAGCTTTGTTGTCCTGCGATTATAATTCCAATTTTAACACTCCGGTACGATATATCTAATAGTAATTGTTTTGTGAGGAACTAACATACCTGTATAAATTTACTAAAGACAAAATAATTGTGCAAAGTGCCCGTTATAGTAGCATCAGAAGGCCATAAGTAAAAGGAAATTCGAGACAAATGAATACCTTAAAAGATGAAAGGAGTATTTCATAAAAATATCAAAGGTCGAATAAAGACAAATGGAACAAAGTTTAAGATCCATTCTGAAATTAAATGCTTTAAAAGATGAAAGGAATAAAATGAAAGGAAGTTAAGAACTCAAAGGTTTCACTCTCCCCTGACCTCTTAGCTTACTGTCCACTAATGCCAATCGCTAGAAGGTTAAGGCCAGAGGGGGGGGTAAGGGGTCAAAAAAAATCGACCAAAATATTATTTTCTAAATCAATTTAATTTTCGATGACAAAAACATTGCTGCTATTCACATATTTGTAGCTGCTTAACTTTTTTTTTATAATTGAGGTTAACCGATTTTCACAAAATTGATTATACAACATTGAGGTTAATAAAATTGAGGTTAATATTTTATTACACTCCATAATTTTTTGTTTTTTTCGGTCAGCAAATGTAAACTCTAAATTTTAGGTTCATAATTATCAGAAAAAGTAATATCCAAACGTGATTAAATGAGGTTAACCTCTTAATTTAGGTATAGCGAAAATAGATTAGGTGATAGAGTTGTTATTTTTATCGTAAGATTACGACATACAAAATTCTTAATAGATGTAGTGCTGATTTACTTCATTTTATCTCGAGAAAGTGTTGAAAAATGAGGTTAACCATATCATTTGGTAGTTTAAGAATTATTTACACAAGATTCTTACTTTTGTTATGTACCACAATATCTCAGTGATGTATCTATTTGTATTCCAATGCCTCAAATATGATCATGAGACAAAGGTGATTAGGACTGACCATATATAAGTAGAAGAGTTCACCCATGAATAGCTAAAAAATGAGGTTAACCTCTCATTTGTTGAATATCGGCCCAGTCAATCACATGTTAACCTCAAAATCTTAATTGTTACACTGGGCAAATGTTTTCATTACATGTCTAACAATATATTGATAAACCAATTCCATTGTTATATGGTCTATAGTGAGGTTAACAATCATATTTTTACTACTACTACAAAATATCGTGATAGTTAACCTCATTTTTAGACAAATTTTGGTTTATGATATTGATTTTCCCAACATAAAGTATCTCAATAAACATCTTCTCACCTTAAAGCAAAAATTGTATGGAGACGCTACTAAATACGGAAAATAATGCACAATTTGAGATTTTGGCAGTGAAATAAAAACACCAAAACTCTTTTTACTCAAAACAGGTTTTTTCATACAAACGTCCCTTAGTTGAGAATACTGGCCACACCCAGAAGCTGAAACTTGGCACAGGTGTTCCTTGGGTTGTCACCCACAATTCTATTGTACAAAATTTTGATATTTGCCTTTGTTCTTGAGTTATGAGGTTAACTGTCGAAAAACTGTTGAATTTGGGGTAAAGTTAACCTCATATCTCAAGAACAGAAGCAAATATAAAAATTTTGTACAATAGAATTGTGTAAAACAGTCTAAGGAACACTTGTGCCAAGTTTCAGCTCCTGGGTGTGGCCAGTCTTCTCAACTTAGGGCGTTTTAACTTTTTACAGTTTAAGTTAAAGTTTTACATGTAATTACATGTAAACCTCAATATTTGGCGCGCGATATCTTAAAAACGCAAGGTCAGATTTCGGTCCTGTTTTTTTCCTCTTGTTCGTCTTCAGCAGCTCTAATCAAATATGTGAAAACTGGAAAATCGACTTTTACCCCCCCTCTGGCCTTAAAAGGTAGCAAGTTATATAATGATATGCGTGAACACTGGTAAATTTGCTGCTTGACAGCTTGAAGGAATGAAGATCACCTTGCCTCTCTCATTACTACTATCCTAGTATATCCTGTACACATCCGACAACGGACGATTCAAAATTTAATCTACTGTCGAGCATGCACTGGTCGACGTCCTAGCGTTTTGTAATAACCAAATCAGCTCAAACTTTAAATTTAATTTTTCCTAGCTACACAAATACAATTGTCAAGAAAGATGTTAATTAACGACGACCAGACTGCTAAGTAACTTAGAATATTTGTAGGTTCACTTAGTAATATGTAAGGATGATTTTAAGGGTGTTTTTTGACGCAATATGCAACAGGCGTCACACTGCCACTGGGCGGTTGCCGGTTTGCTTTAGATAAGAGAGCCATATTATCATATTGTTTTAAATATTAGATAACTTTATTACATTAATATTATATTTTCACTTCGAGCACTCGCACTCGTTGCATCCATTACCTCGAATAATAAAGCTGTATTATAAAAGCGCACTTTATTTTATTTTTAAATCTAAAAATCAATAACACAAACATGAGTCAAAAATATAACTGCACTTTAGCATCAGACAGCAGCGTCTTTTAGGCCATTAAATGAAAAAAAGCTTTAAATCCTGACGTTTTTGCAAGGTAATCCTGAGATTTATTCGCCAAGGCCTATATTTTTATTTAAGCCTCTAAATGTTGCAATAAGCGAATCTTCTTAAAATAAAGCATTAAATTCTGACAAAATTTGTCTGTTTCAGAGCTCGACTATACGGACACCTAGTAAGAAAGGGGTTATTGGAGACACCTTTCAGACAGGAAATGTTAACAGGATCGAGGATGTGGACAGTGACGAGCGATTTAATAAGTAAGTGGGTGAAATCACCTGTCATGCAGTGCAGATGCAATATTCGGGTGCCCGAATTTGGGATAGAAAATCGTAAACATTTCAAAGATCAATATTGATCCTGTCAATTGTTGAAGTAAGGGTCAACTATTTCCCTAACGCAAGAAACTAATCGCCGTAAGTCTTATAATACTGAGTAACAAATAGTGCGCATATTAATTTAACAATTTGGGTTCAATGACATATCATTATCTTAACCGGTTCCATCCAAACAGGGAGATTGACAAGCTGACAGGCTTCAAGACACGTAATCTACTGTGTATACCAATACACTCTGATAAGGGAATAATAGGGGTCACGGAAATGGTCAATAAAAAACTTGTAAGTTTTATTATATTTTTATGTTGGACATTAATTAATATTGAGGTGAAAATAGCCTCAGAAACTGCAGTTGGCCCCCATAATTGACGTCAAAACATTTTTGGAGTTAAGGTATTTCTGCACACACGAATGTTAGAATAACCCAGTTTATTATAAAACAGAGGGCTGCATTCCAAATGCTGACGTTGCTTCACCACCATTCACCGCCGAGTGTTCTCAATAGCAAGAACTTATTGGTCAATTTGCTAACAAATTACATAGGTAGTTGACTGATTACATATACTTCCAAGGAGCGAGGATTTTCCCTGAGTGACGAGCGAGCGTTTTACACGCTGACAGTTTTCTGTGGCCTAGCTCTCTATACTAACAATCTGGAAAGGAGACTCGCTAGAGTGAGTTATTGTGGTTCAATTTGTACTGACTAGAGTGAGTTATTGTGGTTCACTTTGTACTCGCTAGAGTGAGTTATTGTGGTTCACTTTGTACTGGCTAGAGTGAGTTATTGTGGTTCACTTTGTACTGGCTAGAGTGAGTTATTGTGGTTCACTTTGTGCTGGCTAGAATGAGTTATTGTGGTTCACTTTGTACTGGCTAGAGTGAGTTATTGTGGTTCACTTTGTGCTGGCTAGAGTGAGTTATTGTGGTTCACTTTGTCCGAAAGCTAAAAAGTAAAGCTCGAAAACCAGCGACTTGTTTAAATAACCAGATACTAATTAACAGATGCTGACGGCTCGAGAGATAAACATGAGCGTTTTGAACTACTACCGGGTTTGTTCACAGGATGAGTGTGACGTCATTACCGCCCTGCCTCCTATGCAGGTCTCTTCCTTTCAGCTCTCCAGGTTATTTACTAGTTTACCTACCCTGAATACTGCCCACTCTTATGAGTAATACTGAATGTTTACTCTCGTGTGGTTAATTCCAATACGGATCACATGATTTAGACCCACATGTTGCCATATTATTATTATGTCAGGTACGATTTTGACACGTGGAGTTGCAGTCAGGAGACTCAAGTCAGACTTTTTATCGGACTATTTGAGGACCTTTTCCCGGGACTCTACGACAGAGACTTACTTATTAGATTCACACTTACTGTCAAGTTCGTTAAATTATGGCAAATTATTTCAAATACTTGTTACCCACTCCTTTTATAGGATGCAGATACATGGTACAATCATGTGCTCATATGCTTTGACAAGACCAAATTAGTACCGATCATCTCCAATACTACATCATTAGACAGTTAGAATTCGGTGTTAACCATTTTATCCTGTGTATCAAAGTGCTTATATAATATATGCACTCTTTTAGTGATTATATCATCAAGATAAACGCTCGAATACTGCTCAAATCCTCCATTTTTATCTTCAGGAAGAACTACCGAAAAGTAGCGTACCATAATTGGGAACATGCCTTCTGCGTGGCTAACTGTATGTACTCGATATTAAAGTCAAACCAAGTCATGTGCTTTACTACTAATGAGGTGTGTATTACATATATTTATTACAGAATTATATATTGATAACATACTTCGTAATATTATTACCGTATCTTATGATTACAAGGATAGGATAATGGCGGTGCTGGGCGTTTTAAAATGATCCATGATCAGCCACCAATTGTCCTGAAAGCATTCGAATTATCAATAGTTAGATCCAATTTTGATTAATATGAAACTAGAATTGTGAAAAATTGTGCGGGAAGTTCCGAACTGTGCAAAAAATTCGAAAAACAACTGTTAGTTAGAGTGGTTCATTTTACCAAAAGTTGTTCAAATAATTAGACATCATATCTTATTAGTTGCTCTATAGGGTCAGGAACGACCAAAAAAATTTTTTTGACTCTAGTGTTCCGGATATGGTCCGCACATGCCACGCCCATTTTTATAGCGTTTCTTATACAGGTAAAATAGGGAAAATCGCATTTTTTAACATGAAAGCGTCATTTCTGTGCTTTGAGACTTTCTACTCTAATATAAATGTGATGATGGCATTTCGTTTAAACATATTTTCAAAACTCTGTGACCACGCCCTGGCCGTGGACCACGCCCCTATTTCTTATACACATAAAAACACGAAAATCGCAGATTTTTAAATGATTGGATTGATTTAGAGCTTTGAGACTTTCTACTCGAATATAAATGTGACCCAAGCATTTCGTTTGAACATGGTTTAAAATTTGATAACTCTATAGATCGTCATTGATAGGATCAGTATTAATGAGATCGAATGATTACTTCATAGCTCGTCACTAACTGGATCAGCATAACATGACTAAAGACTAACGAGGTCCAGAAATGTGAGCCAAAAGATACCGTTGACACCATGGACACCATGGACCATGGTCCATGGTCAATGAATGTTGAACAAGATCTGGCCCTTGACATCCTTGTAGCGTCCACGAGTCACATAACAAACCCTGGTAAGTGCTGACACCGGCAATAACGTTTAAAAGAACTAAAAACGATGAGTAATTATCAGTCAACCAACAATGTCAACCTCCAAAGGAAAGCGAAGAAAGCCTAGAAGAGAGATTCCATTGATAGGAAAGCTCCTCGACAGAATCCCTGACTCCAAGCTACCCACTAACCAAGTTGTTCTACAGAGACTCTTCTTTATTCTTGAGCACAATTTCGGTAATGCTGCGGGAGAGTTAGCTAGAGTTACTGTGAAGAACGATGTCGTGTCCGTTTGGGAGTATGCTGGTTTTGGAGACGTCCTCAAGACACAGGGCTTTTTGACATCTCAAATAGATCCCTCATCTTCACCTCTAGAGTCCATAAAGATGACAGACAGTTTCTACTCCATCACTGGGATGCGCAGATTTCTTCAACTCGGGACTTCAAAACCAAGGCTGTGGTCGAGAAGAAGCTTGCTCGGGAAGCCAAGTACGAGGATGCTAAATTATTACCAAATTTGAGAGGGTTTGGGAGTGTTAATCGACTTGCCATAGTGGCTGTCCAAGAGGACTGTAATCAAATATTGGCTATTGCAAAGACTGAAAATGGGACTGGGGAGGAATTTTAAACCATGTTCAAACGAAATGCTTGGGTCACATTTATATTCGAGTAGAAAGTCTCAAAGCTCTAAATCAATCCAATCATTTAAAAATCTGCGATTTTCGTGTTTTTATGTGTATAAGAAATAGGGGCGTGGTCCACGGCCAGGGCGTGGTCACAGAGTTTTGAAAATATGTTTAAACGAAATGCCATCATCACATTTATATTAGAGTAGAAAGTCTCAAAGCACAGAAATGACGCTTTCATGTTAAAAAATGCGATTTTCCCTATTTTACCTGTATAAGAAACGCTATAAAAATGGGCGTGGCATGTGCGGACCATATCCGGAACACTAGAGTCAAAAAAATTTTTTTGGTCGTTCCTGACCCTATAGAGCAACTAATAAGATATGATGTCTAATTATTTGAACAACTTTTGGTAAAATGAACCACTCTACTGTTAGTGCAAATATGTGCAGAAAACGGCCAATAGTGTTTATACGCTCCCTCCGCACTAATGTGTTGCCTCTGTTTCTCAGTTGCTCAAAACTGATTCATGAACTCGAAACACGGATTTGTTTTTCATCAAAATTAAAACAAATAAGCCGAACGAAAAAACGCAGAAATCTCTATCAAATTAAGAAAATTTCTTGTTCTATTAATATAGACTTTGTTGGCTGACTTTGTTGGCTGACTTGATTTGTTTTTCAGATGTTAGCCTTATTTGTAGGGTGCATTTGTCATGATCTAGACCACAGAGGTTACACGAACAGCTTCATGAAGCTTACCGCACACCCCCTCTCTGCTATCTACTCCAGCAGCATCATGGAGAATCATCACTACGAACAGACCCTCCAGTTACTCATGGTAAAAGTCACTCTCCAATACTATAGATTTTGTTATTGAACGCTTGATTCACATTTTGCTATGGAAACTTTGATAAGGTTTTAATAATATAAGAACAAAGTGCCATTACAAGACTGTGTTTGACAAAAAACTTTTAATTTTTCAGCAAAAAGATTTGAACGTGTTTGCTAATCTGAAGCCAGATGACTATGTTAACGTAATCGCGATCATGAAGCACGCTATCATAGCAACTGATCTTGCTCTTTACTTCGACAATAGGACCACTTTAAGAGAGCTTCACAACAAGAATTTGTAAGTTTATCATTATGTTCTTTTTTTGTATTAAGCGTTCTGTAGTAAACCACCTCAATTGTGTCATATGCCATCTAAAGTTGACTGACTAGTTAGTTTCTGGACAAAAATTCGGTCAAAACTGTGAAATTTCTGTCGGGGAAATTCCGTCTTTAAAAACTGAAAATGGGACAAAAAATGGGAGAATACGATTTTTCCATTCTTCGGCAATTTACCTCAAAACTGAAATTCCGGCCCAGGATATTAGAATTTGAAAATATCCAACATATGAAGATCAATTTTGTCTGATGTCAGTTATAATGAACCTTATCTGCAGGTTCAACTCTGATGACAGGGAACACAAGCAGAGACTCAGAGCTCTGATCATGACCTGTTGTGATCTCTGTGCGGTAACCAAACCATGGAATGTTCAGAAGATCGTTGTGGAGCATATAAATGAAGAATTCCACAACCAGGTACTGCACTTATTGTACATTGTACTGTAAACATAGTACTATGCTGAACTTATTAAACTGCAGTAGAGCGGATAGTTTCTCAATCAGGCACACTTATATGACAAATATTTATTATGCATTTTGATACATGCCAGCCCTTTACCAAATTGGTAGTTCAGTTACAATTTATGATAGTCAGTTTTGCACGAATAAATTCAATAAACCATTTCCAGGGAGACCAGGAAAAGGCTCTTGGGTTCGAACCTCTACCTTTGATGGACCGTGCTAAAGCAGAAACCCAAACAGCTCAAAGCCAGGTTTATTTTTCCAGTTGGCTGATTCTTTTACAAACTAGCAGTTTGGAACCACCCACAGTAAAACGAATAACTTCGGTTTTGTAATTGATCGATTTCTGTGTTTAGCAGTATTTAACCTTGATAACCTCAGGTAGATTTCATAACCTCGGTGTGTTTGCCAGCTTACAAGCTTCTCTCCGAATTAATGCCATCAACCTCACCTATGTACGAGGGGGCACTGTGAGTTATATATACTGATATTTTCCAATCATTTCTGTTGTCTAGGTTTTATTAGTTTATAGGTTTATGATTGAACTTTTTGAAAAATATACAAATAAACAAATACGTAGTAAATGTTTATCGTATATTGTTCGTATTATAAAAAACCAAAAAACCAAGACAGCGCTCTTGCTTCCAAATAACGACCTATATTTACTGTAGGAGTAACCTTAAAAAGTGGGAGACAGTGGCTAAACATGGTCCCGAAGCTGTTGAAATTCCAACAAATAATGTGGAGAATCAGGAGGTTACCAAGCCGGCCGCTAAACTTAGACGGACCAAAACTAACGGAAACAAAAAGGGGAAGAATGTTGGCAAGGATAGATTTCCTACCCACAAGGTAAAGCGCTGAAGGAATACCAATAACATTGATTATAAGTAGAGTATTCTCTTCTTCCCACCCCCCCCCCCCCCCCCCCCCCCGCCCCCCCAACATGAACAGGTCAGCCTGGCAGCTGACATGTTGTCACTTTGTAATTGGGGCCCTGGCTTCAACCTCACCGGAGAAGACATCGTCATCTAAAGTAGTCATAGAAACTTGGAAATATGAACCCGCCCCCCCCCCCCCCCCTTCTTCCCACCCACAGTATGTTTCACACTAATCCTAGCTTGAGTTATAGCTCAAATTTCAACGCTAACAGTTTCACAGCTCACGAGTCACCCGAAAATTAGGTGTCACCCAATTAAATAGACGTTTTAAGGCCACAGGGGGGGGGGGGGGGTCCGAGGTCGAAAAAAAGTTTTTTGCCAGTTGGCAGACCACGTACTATCTGACGCTTGCACACCACCCTTAGCCCCCCAGAGCGCCTAGTTTGTCGTAAAATTGAGGTTAACTATTGCCTTTTTAATCAGTTAACCTCACAAATAACCAGTTCTTAACATTTTGTTGCTCTCGTCACAAGTTAAACTTATCAATGGGTATCAATTGGCCATCCAATGTGAACAGAACTATTATATGTCCTTTATTTGTTGGAAAATTGAGGTTAACATATTTTCTCAGAATCATGGTCTTTTGACTCTCCTGAACAATTTATTTACCACCTCAAAAACCTATCTTCTCCTAGAGCTTTTATCCATTTCACCTCAAATTTGGAACTTATGTTCCTGACATAAATTTAAAAGTTTGTTATGTAACGATTGTTGTAATTTTGCTCCTAACTCTTTTTAGGAGGTTAACCATTTTAAATTTTGTAAATTTTGTAATTCTCGCTCATGGTTAACCTCATATCTCAGCTTTGGAGCAAGATATCATAAATCGTTACATAACAAAAACTCAAAATACCTTTAAGAACATTGTTGGCAAGTTACAAGGTTCTAAGTCATAAACTAAAAAAGAAGATAGATTTTGAACACAATTGCATTTAAAGTTTTCATTTACAATAGAATTACAGGTAAACCTCAAAATTCAACGCGCGATATCTTCAAATAGGAAACTTTGTTTTCGGTAATGTTAGGTAATAGGATTGCATAATTATGATTAAGATGATATTGAACAGGACACAGGTGTCTTGATCGTGACCTTTCTAGGACCATTAGGGTCAGTTCATTCAACCATGCATTTAAGTGAACGCTCTGACTAAGAGATGCTGTGCAAAATATACTGGAATTTTACCATTGGTTGACAACTAGGCGAGGTAGCCGTCCATTGGTTGTAAGTCATGTGACCTAGGTCACATGACCATAGCAGGTGGACTAAGCCTCATTTAACCTCGGTCAGCTCGAGCACTAAACATTAGTGTGACGTCAGAATAGTTATTAAGATCGGCACGGCAGGTAATATAAATACAGATGTTTCGTGTCGTAAAAGTTAGTTTATTTTTAAACCACTTCTCCTAAACTGTTGTTTCCGTTGTTCCCAAAACTACAAGAGAAGAGCCCGTTAACAGTAAGGACAAAAGCATTTGAAAATTTAGATCGAGCTCTTCAACATATCTCAAAATCTCAAAATTGACCTCGGACCCCCCCCCCCCCCCCCCCCCCCCCTGTGGCCTTAAAAGCCTCTAAATAATACCCAGGTCTCAATAGAGTCTATCAGTGGTAAACGTTTATCGCTAAACGGGGGGTTTGAAAACCGGTACACGGCCAGACACACCAGGCTGGACTCCCGGAGCAAGAAGATTGCCGGTACAGACACCTGGATCAACCCCAAGAAGACGGGCGACAGCTGGCTGAGCTACAAGAAACAACAGATAACTGGACCTATGAGGAAGTATCTGGAACCTGGGGTGGCTTACAAGGAGGCCGGGGCCAAGAAATCCTTTCGTAAACTTAGACCTGCAGTAAGATTTTACTGCGAAATTGTGTTAACTGTGCAATTGTCTTCAGATAAAAATGCGACTCCGAGATTTTTCTTGTGAAGGTTCCCAGCAGATATTTTTAGAAAGCCCAATATCACATTACCTTAAAAATCTCACTGCACCCAAAACGTTTTTTATCCTATTCTAGATAACTTTCTAACAGTATCTCAACCAGGGCGCCCAAAACGTTCAGACAAACAGAGCTGCTCTTGCATCTAAACCGATCGTCAGAGGAGACAACAACAACAACAAGATATCATCCTCTGGAGCTGTCAGCAAATACAGTGGAATGTACTCTAAATATAGACAGCGATAGTTTATTTTATTCGCATTGTTTGGCCGGTTAACTCTACATTTTAGGACATAAACCAACTGATATAGTGTATATTTGATTAAAATAGGGTAAAATAGAGATATAATCGGTAGATTGAACCGCACAAACTGAGACAATTGTGAGGGCAATTATTGTAATTGGACAGTTTCATATTATATCGTCAACTGATTTCCACCACTAGGTTCACTTTTAGATTTGAATTAGCTACATTTTACAGGCAGATTCGTAGCTGACTCCTATTGCTTACATAACTCTTAATCTTGCTTTGTAAGATTGTATATATATATACTCGCGATCTCATATATATGTACGATCTTCATTGAAGTAGTCAGTAAAACAAGGACATGATACTATGTGTGGGGACTACGGACCCCATCATAACGCATTTCAAATTTGCCGCCTGGTTACATAGCACTAAAATACAATATAATTCAATATACAAATTCAAAGCAATGTAATCATAGTACACACCAGCCCAGACGCTCAAATTTTTCTAATACAGATTCCAAAAAGGCACACAAAATAACAAAAGGTAATACTAATAATATAGAAATGTACACATACAAGAACTGGCGTTCAAATAATGCCAGTACATGCTAGAGCATGTTAAACAGAGAACAAAATACTAAAGTGAAAGTGATACTGCCCCATCAACTACAGTGCACGTTGTAGAGTGGAAAAAGGGTCTTTAAGTGGAAAGAAAGTGGTCACACTGGTCGAATACGGTCACAGAGGCGACTTCTTGTATGACGAATTTGCAGACGTTATGGAACTAGATTAACAGTAGGTCAATCTAGTTAAATCTGGATATAGAGTGTAGCTTCTATATTTCTTGAGAACAGGGAACAACGAATACGATTTAACTAATAATAGATGAACTGATAAAAATGTAAATCTACAAAACTTGTTAATAATAATAAACTTGTCCTATAAGAAAGGACTTTGAAAAAATATTGTATAACAACCGTTACTTGGTTGAGCCGTGAATTGCAAATTAATCGTTATTTAATGTTGTAGAAAGTCCATTAGTTGTTATTTAATGTAGATAGTTGTAGATAAGTTTATTCGTTTACCTTACATAAATTATTTTGTAATTAAGATTCATTGAATATAGATTCAAGGTACCCAAGCTATTTGATTGTTTATAGGTTTTTGGATTACATTATTATGATTCTGTTGTCTGTCGCATTTACTTGTCCAGAACGAAAAAGTTATAACCATGATAATTTGGTTTTTTTAAATCTTTTGATTAATTTTCTTTCTCCGTTCGACTAGGTGATGAGCTGTTTTTGGTAAAACTTTCATAAAATAATCATCTGGCTGACACGTCCACAATAATCTCTAATTATTTGTTATTATTATAATATAGCTGTATTGAAAGTATTAAAACGATTATGGACGTCACAGTCAGAAAATTACTCAATTAAATTTTTACCTAAAACAATTCGTCACTTACTCTTATTCGAACAGAGAAAGAACATCTATCTAAACAAAAGTTCATACTATGCGACTAAAAAACTATCAGCTGCTCAAGTATAGTACTTTTTAATCTACTTTAGTATACTTTAACTTATATTCGTTGAAAACAGTCCTGAAATCAGAAAATACATGTTTTGTTTCCTTTTTTGTTTACAGTTTACGTTGTATGATTGTTAAAATTATTTAACACAAAAAAGAAATTAAATTAATGTTTATTTTTAACAAAAATAGAACTTATAAACGATTTTTTTTTCAGCGTTTAAGTTAATTTTGAGCTGACTTAGCTGCTTTATGACACTTCAAAAATATCTATTTTCTCTCATGGAAATTTTAATTGTAACCGTCAATTAGGCAGATGATAATCATAATATGTCTATGAACATCATATTTTGATGATACTGATAGTGATACATATTGATTATTCATTTATTTGTTTTTTACTGCTAAGACTAGATGGACCCTCTTTGAAGTATTGCTAGTTTTGCAGATGTATTTTGACGGTGACCATCTCATTTTTAAAATTTACAATATGAACAATTGTACTCATTTATGTCAGATTTAAACCATATAATTATAAAACGTATGTATTTTACTAGAATTAGAATTGTGAGTGAAAACATAGTTCAATGTTTTTGCTCTCATTTTAATAGACTGGACGGAATAACTGTGATTATTCTGTTGCCTTATAGGCTGTATATTATTTATTTAATTTCCATACGAGACATTAAGTTGAACTTGAAAGTGCATATCACGTTTGTGAATTAGTTTTTGTATATATGCTGATAGTGATCTAGATTAACGTTGCAAAGTTTTTAATTTATGTTTTATTTGTACAAAAACTGCAACACAACTACGCCTTTTGCTTGGTGATGGTCGAATATTACAGTTGACTAAAGTCTAAAATAAAAGTGAACCTCTGGCTCTAGCAACAAGGACAAAAAATCGCGATTATTGAGGGCGAAAATTACGGCGAAAAATAATATATTTGTAGAGCTTTGACGTATGTTACTCGTATAAATTTCTTCGAAGTATAGCGCGCGCCGCGCCGCTTTCTTCTCGAAATGGCCGGCGAGTGCCGAGGCTTAACGGGTGATACTCGTAAAATATCTGTTCCATATATTGGACCGTCGACGAGTCCAACTTGGCGCGCGTCCTGGTAGGTTGTAAACCTACAAGTAGGTAGTGCGCCATCGACAGTGAGCCGCGCGTGCCGACTGTAGGATGGTTTTTTAGCGCTAATTTCGGCCAGCACAATTTTCTTCAAACAAATAGATATTAAGTATCCTTCCCGACCTCCGATTGCAACAAAAATTGGTAAGCTTACTCATAGACTTACAAGGAAAGTGTCCGAAAAGTTTAAAGCATATCCAACCATCAGACATTATGTTACAGCTAAAAGCAGCGTATTTTGCCCCATTTTGATCACTACATCAACTGTACTCCAATATCCACCAAATTTTTCGGACAGTTGTGAAAGCCTTATTGGTTAAGGTCGTCGCCAATTTTCAGAATGATCTCATTCAAGGAACTTGATTCACGATGTCAATCCTTCGCAGCTCAGTGAGGCACAGTGGTGCATCTCGCCGATCTACCGAAGTGGTTGCGAGAAGCATTATTTATGATTTAATGCGCGCGCGACCCAGTAGTGCATTGCGCTACAATCAAGGAACTGAAGATATATCCAAATAATACGACAAAAATCAACGAATTTGGTCAAATTTGGTCAAATTACGCGACTTTTACAGCTAATTTTGCTCCAAAAGCCGCGCACCATCAAATATGGCACCTAGGCGAAACTCACTAATCTTTCCAAAAAGGTTTGACAAATTTGGTATTGTGAAAATTTTCACAGTCTCTAGAAAACAATGGTACAAAAATTTTTAAAATCCGAGCAAGTTTATTTTTATATGGTGCACTCCCTACAGTACAAGCCGAGGCAAGTGCTACGAAGCTAAGTAGCGCGCGCCGGGCTAGTCCATTAACAATGGACAAGTAGAGCTAAGTTAGATGTCATATATTCGTTTTGATTCACGATGTCAATCCTTCGCAGCTCGGTGAGGCACAGTGGTGCATCTCGCCGATCTACCGAAGTGGTTGCGAGAAGAATTATTTGATGCGCGGCGCGACCCAGTAGTGCATCGCGCTACAAATATTCGTTAAACTAGCTCGTTCGCGTTAGTGATAGTCTAGTTAGATAACAGATAAGGGAGCGATAGGCAAAACAATAGCATATAACATAATCTCAAATATATTATTGCTATAAAACAGCATATTTTATTGAACATTAAAATGAACGCTCGAAGGCATTCAAAATCATCAAACATCTAAATTTTTTTCATCTTTTATTAAATAATTTGTAAATTAATTTTTCATTCAATGGGCAAAAAAGATTGACCATTGTTAATGATCTGGCCCGGCGCGCGCTACTTCGAGAAGAAAGCGGCGGCGCTACTTCGAAGAAATTTAGACGAGTAACATCCGTCAAAAAAAGGCAATTGTTATGTGTTAAGCTGTAAAAAATGTCAAAATATCAGTAGATCAGTATCTATCCCAGGAACCCTGACCGGATGGGGCTTAACTTTGAAAGTAAAAGAGTTGGAGACTTCCGGTTTTTGTAACATGTTCCTGGCCTCTTTTAAAAGTAACGTTACCTCTTCAGGAGGAAAATTCAAGACAACGTAATTGTTGAGTTATCTCAAAATCTCCAGAAAAGTCCCCTTCCGGGCCGATCAAAAGTTTGCAACTTTAACTTTGCGGATTCCGGTACTCTGGTTGGCTGAATTGTGTCACGTGGAAGCTGCTTGAACAATCGAATACGCCACGCGTGCAAATCATGCTTGTTGTCGCGCGCGAGGTCAAGCCGTTTGTTTAAATTAAACCAACTCTAGTACCACCACCAGCCGGTAACTTTTCCTGGGATGATCGCGATTATGAAAGTTGTGTAAAAACATGACAATAGATACGAAATATTATGACCAGCTTTGATGATCATATTCATATAATCACAAGTCATTTTGTAGGTTTATAATTATAACCTACCAAGACGCGCGCCGAGTTGGATCCTCGTCGACGGTCCTGAAACAAATATTTTACAAGTAAGTATCACCCGTTAAAGGTCATCTTCCTCAAATGCAGGTTATCGTGCATTAAATATTCCATGCTTTAAGCATCATATCAGTATTGATGAGGACCCGGTAATAACCGTTGGACTACAAGCAGAAATTATTTGTTGAACTAGATCGAGTACGCTACCTGTACTTTAGTTCGACACTTACCGAAGTTCGACAGGGATGATATCTGCAGGCGAACTTAAATTGTCGAACTATAGTGCATGTCGAACTAAAGTACGTAAATCCATATATGTAGGGGGTGCACGATAAAAATAAACTTGCTCGGATTTTAAAAATTTTTGTACCACTGTTTTCTAGAGACTGTGAGAATTTTCACAATACCAAATTTGTCATACCTTTTTGGAAAGATCAGTGAGTTTCGCCTAGGTGCCATATTTGATGGTGCGCGGCTTTTGGAGCAAAAGTAGCTGTAAAAGTCGCGTAATTTGACCAAATTCGTCCAAATTTGACCATTTTGGTCGTATTATTCGGATTTATCTTCAGTTCCTTAAATGAGATCATTCTGGAAATTGGCGACGACCTTCCAATAGGGCTTTGACAACTGTCCGAAAAATTTGGTGGATATCGGAGTTGATATAGTGATCAAAATGGGGCAAAATACGCTGCTTTTAGCTGTAACATAATGTTTGATGGTTGGATATGCTTTAAATTTTTCGGACACTTTCCTTGTAAGTCTATGAGTAAGCTTACCAATTTTTGTTGCAATTGGAAGTTGGGAAGGATACTTAATATTTATTTGTTTGAAGAAAATTGTGCTGGCCGAAATTCGAGCGTGCTAAATCACTCTACAGTCGATCTTCGAGATTGTTCTAAAAGGGCCCCCGACGGTTGTAACCCACTTCAATCGATGTATTTACGGACGCTGATTCCGAATCACCCCCCATGACATAGGGTTAAAATGCTCCCCTGACGAGATATTGGCGAAAAACTGTATCGATCACGTGATATGACCATATAAGGAAGTTAGTCTAATTTCTCGTTAGGGTTAGGGTTTCAGCATATGTTTTTGTTAAGGATTGGGTTAGGGTTAGGGTTGGGATCAGATTAGAGGGTTAGGGTTTCGAAAAGTCGTTCAGAACTAGCTAGAGAACGGGTTGAAAAAGTCACGTGACAGTCGAGTGTAGAGTGATTAATCATCATCCGCCGAAATTAGCGCTAAAAAACCATCCTACAGTCGGCACGCGCGGCTCACTGTCGATGGCGCACTACCTAATATATGCTCTACTGAAATTTTGGTCTGCTTCTAAATTAATCGCCAAAAATGTAGTCTCAATAAATTTGGTTTACAAAAATTTTAGTCAAAATTTTGACTAAATTTATGATAGACAAATTATTTGTCGTTCTTAAGGTATATATGAATTTAATGCCAACTTGAATGAGTATAAAGTGGCATATTCAGTCAGTGATCGACAGATATGCTTATCTTAACACAAGGAAATGTTTTCAAAGGTAAAATTTCGAAATCGTTGAAATTACCTCCTTATTAATGAAGTTATCACTTTATATTTCGACTTAGTAAAGTACCCTGACATAAATTATCAAAAAGAGATGATATTTGACCAAAACCCATAATTGGGTAGAGTGGACTTGGATCGCTGCCAGTGTCTCTCTTTCCGGCTCCCAAACAAAAGGAAATGATATTAATTTGAATGACTGTCTGCAAATGCAAAATGATACCGAGAATGAAATCGGTCGCTCGCTTTTCCCATTCATTTACAATTGTGATAAATTAAGAAGAACTGTTCGAAGGCAGCTGTACTCGGCAATAAAGATTCAATAAACATCAGCTAATTTGACACTAACTATACCGCCCTTATCCCGAAATACTAGGTATCGACCTGATATAAAAGCAACCCAAAGAGATTTGTACAGCATGTGATTGATGTAATTGATCGAAACTTATTACAATTCGTAAGCCGTGAATGAATAGGAAAAGCGGTCCACTCTACCCAATTATGAGTTTTGTTCAAATGTACGTATAACTGTATAACTATATTTTAACTTATATAAGCTATTATAATTTATATCCAGGTAGATGCGATTCGATAAAACGGAGTACGACGGAGACTAATTGAAGTCGTATATTCTCGATTAGCTTACCTTAAGAGCTTAAGGAATCTCTAATACGAAGCCGAACCGCATGGAGAACGGCACCAGTGGCGTAACGTAAGGCCCCGCAGACCCCGCTATGCGGGGGGGCGCCGTGAGAGGGGGGCGCCAAAATTCTGCCGCCCCCTCATAATTTGGCGCCCCCTAGAAATATGGCGCCCCCGGTAATAAAATACTTGGTATATAAGGTGCAAAAGTTGTTAAATATCGTGCTACTGTTCTAAGATTTGTAAAATTCTAAAATTAAATATAGTGCAAAGCAAGCAGCCAGCGCGCGCAAAAAACACGTGGTAAGTGATAACGATATTGCAATTGTTATACAAACGTGGTACACAAAATTCGCGCGTGAGAATGTTTTGATTTTCTGGCAATTTTATATATCAATGTTTACTTTTAACTTAGATCCCAATTTAATCGGCAGTCACCTATTGTAGTATTATGATACTTCACAAATAAAACACCAACATCTAACAGGTAGCAATAACAAATAAAAATATGGAAATAAAAAACAAATTACATTTTTCGATAATACATTTAAATATTTACATTACCGTACAGTTCATATTCCAAGCAACTCTCTTAGGTTTGGAAAGAGCATCAAATTTGGCCAGCTCTTTCTTGTCAAGTTGTCTTGCTGTTAAGTTCTCGATTGAGATGATGGCTAAACTGTGAACTGCTTAATCTATCGTAAATCGTTTAGTTACCCATTGTGCTTCGGAGTTTTTAAATAGCTTCAGTTTGCTAAAGGATTTTTCAGTACTGGCTTTTTTTTAATGAAAATCTTTTCAGAATTTACAGAACAGCAATAAATCGATCAGAAAATAAAACTGGTAAAAACATGCTTCGGGCTTCCGTCTGTAAATAATGACGGGACACCAAAACACGATGAATGCATGACAAGTCACGCTCGCAAAAGATGGGCCCTTCAAGCAAGAATGAAATGTGATCTGTGATACTCAATATAACAAAATTAAAAGCAAATCATTAATTGTAAGCTGTGGTCAAAATATATGATAAATCGAGAGGCACACTCGTAAATGCACAGACAAAACATTTCACACGATACAAAATCTTCAAGTTCATTTATCAGCCTTCACTATTTCACCCTTCCGTATGAAATAGCTTCCAGACGGGTCGTCTGATCGCTCTTCTTAGTTCGTAACGAGTTCTGACGGCCCTGATACGTTCTTGGGAATTTCTTTTGGTGAAATATGGGATGTTTTAAAGCCCTACTGAAAACCGAGTAGTGGGGATAAAGTCCCCGTGCTTTTTACTCCCTTTTGGGGGGGATTTTTTGTTGCCATTTTGCTGGGTCCCCTGGGGCCTTTTCAGTTTTTCCCAATTGGCACCAAAAACAATTTGAAGGCTGGCAAGTCCGTGGGAAAAGTTTTAAATTTTCTTCAGTCGGTCGGGTTTTGTGGAGCTGGCCAGTTTTTTTTGGGCATTTTTCCCCCAAGCGTAAAATTTGACTCCACTTTTGGGCTTGGGAATTTTGGGGGCCATGACTTTCTTCCACCGGGAAACGAAACCGATTTGGGAAAGGGGTTTAATTTCCCAAAGAAAATCGGAAACCCAACTTCCCTAAAAATTTTTAAACCAGGGGGTTTGGAAAAAACCCTAATTTAAATTTTCCCACAGATGCACAATTTTAAACCCTTTCAGGTTTAAATTTTAAAAACCTTTACATTTTCGGGGGTTTTCATACTTTCCCAACTCTCCCTAACAGGGAGAAACCACCCCCTCCACACATATCGGCTTCGGCAGGGTGGGGCATTTTAAAACAGGGGGCTTTTTTGGGGAAATTTCAAATGTTAAAGGGGGGCAAATATTTTTTAAAAACGGGAACTTTAAAATTAAAGGGTATTTTTGGGGGGGATCAGGGGGGGGAACCCAAAATTCAACGGGCCTTTCCCTTTTCAACCGGGGAACCCAAAAAAAAGTGGGGGCAAACAACTGAAAACCCCCAAAAACCCCCAAAAAACCAATCCCCCCCCAATTTAACCCCCAACCCCCCCAAATAAAAAAAAAACATTTAAAAACCCCCCCCCCCCCCCCCACCCATCCCCCCCCCCCCCCCACCCCCCCCCCCAAAAAACCCCCCTAAACAAACAGCATTA